GTTTCAGGGCCAAGTAAGAGGAAGCGCTGACTTGAATGTGATTGTATCACTAAAGAAGAAAAAAAAAATTTTTTTAAACAGGCTTGCTTGCAAGTGCATGATCCATATTTACACCTGAAAAAAAAAATCGAGAGGCTTTATTGTGGTCTCGGACCCCTCCAGGATCAACAGATTCTCCTCGGCGAGCAGGTAATCTCCTGCCTCAGTTCAAACGTGTTTCTCAAAGAGCAAGATGTTGATAAATATAGAATTGGATAAATAGCTGCAGGGGGGAGACGCGCTGTGAAATGCAACGTGACGTCACCGGCGAATCATGACTCACCCGCCAGTTTCGGAACTTGGCTGATAAAAATATCAGGCGGAAACTAGGCTAATCCATTGAAAGCCAAACCGTGCCTCGTCACGAGCAAGTGAATGGGCTGATCATCTCAAGCAAATGATAACCCAAAACCCCCCTAAAGTATGACAGGCCACATTGCACACGTGTGTGAGCTGGCCGTGCTTGCCTTTGCTTTCTACAGGATTTCACAAATCGGCTTTGCGTCAAAAAAGTTGAGCGGAAGGAGAGCAAGAGGCACCCAGAGCGAGTTGGGGAGTGTCGCCGCGCCGACAGGGTTCATTTTCTCAATTTTCTTCTCTCCGCATTTCAGTCTCCGAGTGTGCGAAATACCCCGTCATTTGTCTTGACTCTTCAATCACTTGCTTTGTTCCACTATTTCACTCAAAGCGCCTTGTTTTTTTTTTTTTTTTTCCTTCACCTTTAGATGACCTTCTTATCTATCTGCTCTGCCGGCATCGCTCTGCGCTCGGCGTGTTTTCCTTGGCTCAAGTGAGGGCAGAAGCCATCTCGAACCGGCTGATTGAGTTACTGCGGTCGTGCCTGCTGTCACACACACACACACACACACACACACACACACACACACACACACACACACACACACACACACACACACCATAAAGGCTTAGCGGGGGAGGGGAGGTGAGGGGGCTGATACTGCGTGAGGATGAAACAGAGCCAGACAGCTAATAATGACACAGAGCGCCCAACGAGAAGCTGCAGGATTATCCTCTCTTGACGTCTAATGGGAAGCATGACTAGTTCGACTTGTTAAGATGCGAGCCGATTTCGGAATCATTTGCATTCATCCAGCAATATGGAGACATATTGCCCAGTGTAAATTGCGAACAAAAATACGACTGTCTTTTAACAAGTATATATTGACATTACAATGCTTTTTTTTTTTTTTTTAACTTTGTGGCTTAAAAAAAAATACTGGTTGCGACCTACATGGCTTATCAATTGAGTGGTATACCGTTGCTTTCTGACAGTTTTTTTTTTCTTAATGTAATGTGAATAACAAACAACTAAACAAAGAGTAGCCACAAGAAGAGCCCAAAATGAATTCAGTCATTCTGAAATGATGTTTTGATAAAACCAATGCAAATCACCGCGGTTAATGAAGGTCACGTTTGGAGCTGATGAGTGATTGTAAATGTTTAATTACGCTTCGCTGAGTCTTACCGAAACATCCGAGACAAAAATAGGTGGCGAAATGGCCTTAATTGGTTCTCAAATATAGGAAAGGGTGTGTTCCCAGCATTCTTTGTTATATGGGTTCTGGAATGTTAGCTTTTATTAAGACCACGACGGAGATATCAGAGAGAAGACTATTATAGGATTTGATTGACATTTTATTGAGCCTTTTCCCTTGTCCCAAATGTCCTCTTGTGGCCTTATTTGAGTTCCCCGACTCCATCGTTCCTCCCCATACTCGTCTCCACCCTGAACTAATCTACTGTGAGTGACAGTCACAGAGCACAGGAATGATGAGCAACTAAGCGAGCGAAAGGGGGTGACGCCGAGCAAGGAAAAAAAAGTCTCGGCTCCCTCGAGTGAAAACAGAGTAGGAGTGACGGGCGTGTCGTGGGTTGGTGTGACATCCACTCAAATTTAGCAGACATTTATATGAGCGGATGGGGAAATGAGTTGAGAAATAGGGGCACTGGGCAAAGAATGACATCAAGGTATGAAGAGGTGAAGGGCTTTGAAGAGGAAGCCGAGATGATGAGAAAGGTTGCCTTCGAGGGGTATATTTGAGTTACTGATGCGGTGTGACTGATATGCACCTGGAAGCGCCTACGCTGGAGTTGAGAGTTCCTGGACTACCCGTACAGTCACGCGGGAGCAAATTACAACTTTGATCAATGGAGGTCAACCAATTCAGTCATTTCACGGCACTAACTGGATTACATGATCTACCCCAATATATACTATTAAGGCCGTTAGTCTGTTATGTGCACGTTGAAACATACATCAAAGGTGCTTCTCGGCTTCTGACAAGATGATGAAACAGCAAATATGTATTTTTTTTTTCTTTCTGTGTCTGAAAAACGGCCATTTGGGCCCCATTACTTCAATCCGGCAAATTGTAGAAATGAAATCGACGGCAAAACCAGTCGGCTGTGTTCACGCCAACAACGGCGCAAAACGCCTTTTTTAAAACCCGCCACGCCGCACCAGCTTTTGCACAGGCCGGTGAAAAGACCAAAACTTGGTTGAATTCCACTTTTGCTTTGCCTGTCGGAAGTGAGTGCAATGTTTTGATGTTCTTTTAGTGTTATCGCCTGAAATGTCATCGTACCATTTTGGACGAGCCTCTTTCGCAAAATACAATATGAGACCGCTTGGTTCGATAAAGGTTGTATAATAAAAATGAGAATGTCATAATTAGGAATGTACCAGCAGAAATTTTGACACAACTGTTGCACTGAATCTCATTAGCTTGTACAGTATACTGAATGAAGTGCTTGGCGTACGTATACATGGCAATCAATCTGAGCAGTAAATTGCCGGTGGGAGGGGAGGGGGGAGCGAGATGCTGCACAAAAGCCACGCAGAAAGATATTCCATTCAGTCTGTACTCACTAGTCGTCTGCCCCCCCCAACAGTCTTTCCATCCGTCTTCCCCTCCACCCACCTCATCCCTCCTTCCTCCCCATTCGGCTCTCCTTCAACACCTTTTACCCTCAACATTTCCTGTTGAACAACTCCCACGCATCGTCCTATACAGATGATGGAGTATTTGATAGTGGGCCAATCCTCGATCAGCAATTTTTATCCTGACGGAATGACATGCCTCAAATTTAACAGAGGGCACTTTAATGTCAAGCTGAAATTGGCTGCTTGGCGGAAACGGATTAGGCGATTTGAGGCGCATCGCACTGTGTGGCATCGTGAGTAGTTTGCATTTGCATTTGTGTGAAGCTGCACATTTGTAATGTGCTTGTGCGCTTAGTTTAAGACAAGCGCCAGCCTCGCATTGCAAAAGATTTGAAGGCAGTTTAGGGCGAGAGGGCTGGGATACGAGCACATTCAGCAAGTACAAAAAAGAATATGATAATAGGAATACGTGGCCAATCAGAGCAAATGTATTGGTCTGAGAGGGACAAAAAAATGAACACCGTAGAACCTCGAAAGTCGAATGCTCTAAAGGGTATACATTTGGGAATTCAACCAAAGATCACGTCCTCAAAAGTCACATCGAAATTTGAAGGTTGAATCAAAGACTTGAGCATATTTTGTGAACCTTGTTCTAAATGACCCTCGATGATTATGATGTCACCCCGGAAGAGTAGCAGGGATGTGATGATGGCCAAGATACAACTAAAAATTGACTGCGGGAACATAGTTTCGACATTGTCTTGGCACCAAGTCAACAAGAACCGGACAGGAGAAAGAACAGAATGCACACTGGTAAGGTCTTTAAAAATATTAAAAACGTAAATACCCGAAAAATCGACTTCAGCACAAAAACAAAGCATTTGCACCATGTGACTAAAAAAGTTACTTTATCGATGTTACGATACCGTTCGTGCATTTCATATAAATTGATGTGAGAGTGACAGTTCGACTCAAACTGAGCATCGCTATCATTCATTCATTCTATTCTTATATTCCCTCAAAGTCAAGGTCGTAGCAATATCCTGTGAAGAAAATTGGGGGGGGGGGACTGAATATTATTTAAATGTCAGCCGCCTTTCCATCCTTTGCCGTCTTCCTTCCTTCTCGAATGTCCAGGGAAATACATTGTACGCTGACTCTTTCTATTTGTCTCTCTGCCTCTATAGGCCAATAATGTCACTTTCCCTTAAGGAAGCTCTCCCCCCCCACCCCCCCC